GTTCCTCCATGTTTCTTCATGGCTTGATAGTTCATTTCTTTTTATTGCTGAGTAACTGTCTGGATATACCATAGTTTATCCACTCACATTTACTGATGGGCAACTTAATTGCTTCTAAGTTTTGTAAATTATGAGTAAAGCTGCTGAAAAAACCCATGTGGATATTTGTGTGGGGACGTAAATTTTCAACTCATTTGGATAAATACAAAGGAACACAAATGTTGGATCATATGGTAAAAGTATGTTTAATTTTGTAGGTAACTGCCAAATTGTCTTCCAAAGTAACTGTATCACTTTGCATTCCCAACAGCAATAAGTGAGAGCTCCTGTTACTCTAGCTCGTCCCCAACATCTGGTGGTGTCAAGTGTTCTGGGATTTGGGATATTCTAATAGTTGTGTAGTGGTATCTCTTGTTTTAATTTTCATTTCTTTATGACGGCTGATGTGGAACATTTTTTCATTTGCTTACTTGTTATTTCAATGTCTTTGGTAAAGTGTCCAGATTTCTTGCCCATGTTTTAATTGAGAATTAATTGTATAAAGGGGTTTTATTGTGATTTTGCATATAGGCATACAATGTACTTTGATCAAATTCACCCCCTCTATAATTGTGTTGTTTATGTATTGGTGAGTTTTAAGAACCCTTTGTACATCTTGGATATGTATCTTTCCTTTTCTTTCTGTTGGTACTGGAGCTTGAACTCACGGCCTCACACTTGCTAGGCAGGCATTCTACCACTTGAGCCATGCCTCCACCCCTCATGGTCTTGTGTTTATGTCTGGGTGGGCCTGGATTGCAGACCTCCTATTTACCCCTGCCACTGTGCCGATTGGGCACCTTTTATCCCAGCTATCCTAGCTAGTGGTTGAGATAGAATCTTGCAAAATTTTGACAGGGGAAAAACTGTGATCCCCTTCATCTCTGCCTCCTGAACAGCTAGGATTCTTGTTGTGAATCACCATGCCTGGCTTCTTTTCATTATTTTAGCAATTCCTATCACAGGTAGAAGTTTTTAGTTTATTTTGGCTCACTGTTTCAGAGGTTTCAGTCCAAGGTGGGCTGGCTCCATTACTTTGGGCCTGAGGTAAGGCTGAACACCATGGTGGCACGAGCTTGTAGAGGAGGAGATTGTTTACTTTATGGCAACCAGGAAGCAAAGGGAGAAGCTGTCTGTATTAGGGGCTTTCTGTTTTTTTCCCCTTTTATTCCATTCAGGTCCTTAATTTATGGAATGGTGCTGCCCACATTCAGGTTGGGTCTTCCCTCCTTTAGTTAGTCCTCTCTGGAAACGCCCTCTCAAACAACCCAGACATGCGCGTTACTGATCTCCCTAATCACACCCTAATCACGCTGACAATCAACATTACCATCATATCCTATTTAACAATGTTTGTCCAGATTATGCTTTTTATGTTGTATCTAAAAAGCTATCATCATATCCAACACCATCTAGGTTTTCACTCATAGTGTTTTCTAGAAGTTTATAATTTTGCGTTTCATTTTTAGACCTGATTCACTTAGAGTTAATTTTGGTGAAACGTATAAGTTTTTACATGTAAATTCACTTTTTTTGCATGTGAATGTCCAGCATGAAATCTGGATTTTATATGACGCCTCTTATTTTAAAGTTGGTTCAAGTTCTTTTTCTTTTATCTTCTGGTAGTGGTAGTGGGGGAAGCTATAGGTCTCCTCCCTTACATACATGTCTATAGGTTCATCCATTGCGGATTATCTCTACTCCCTCTTCACCCATCTACATCTTCCCTAATGCCCACCTCACGCTTTCCCACTACTTTTCCCACTATTCTAACCTGAGCATGTGCTCATAGATATTCAGCTAATATTGAACTCTGAACACACTTAGGAGCTCTAAGTCCCATTTAGCACTGCCTTATGCCACTGTCTTTCCTCCTCGGCCAGACTATAAACTCAGGAATTCTCCTTTTCTGGTTTATCTATGTAGCTTAGCACAGATCTAGGCACATAACATGATCAGAAAGACCTGTTGACAGTTTCAGATCAGCTGGACTTTGGTCTTGGCTTACCAAGTGTCCTTTGGTCTTTAGGAGAGATGGCTACTCCAGGATTCTAGCTGAGGATTTGCCAAAAATGTAAAAACAGCAGCATTTGTCCTGGCATAAATAGAACATCAGCAACTCTAATTTTGATGCCTGATAACTTTATGTTCATACAAACAGAAAGACTCGGATCTCCTTGGAGAATTAGGAAAGACTTACGAATGAGACAGCAAAATATATTCTTGATGGTACCAAAGCATCATGAGTAATAAACAAGTTTCTTTCATTATGATTTTCTACATGGCCATGATGATCATGCACTTCACTATGAAAATAGTGAAAAAGAATGAGCGAACTAAAAAGTACAGATAGCTTCCTAGTGACCAGTTCCCTACCTTATACCTAATTAACAATTAAGATCTCCCATTGGTCTTTGTTTTTTTGTTTCCATCTGCATGAAGTGTTTCCATCCAGGACCTCTGTACACTTCAAACTGAAGATGGGGGGACTGAAAAGGTATAAAACAGATTTTGGTTGGTAGTGACTGTGCCTGATTACCATGGAATAGAACGCTAACAGACTTCTCAGAATTAATTTACTCAGAGAAGTATTGTGGCTTCCACTGCCTAACTTCCACTCATGGTCTATTCATATAAACCCCAGGCAGGAAAAACCAGGGCAGCAGGAACCTAGGAATATGCCTTGGTCTTGGGAAAGGGCTGGTGAACCTGTCTGCAGACAGGTCTGTCTGCAGAGCTTCTGGGGGCACTTGCATGGCCCTCACTTAGGGATGAGGCAAGTGCTGGTAGTATGTTGGCAGTGGCACTGCTTCTAGTTCACCAACATTCTTTTTTGACCTCAAGACTCATAGGTATCAGTCAGAGACTCACTCAGCTTGAGGACAGCAATCTTGTTAGAAACACACCTACACTCTGATCTCCAACCTTCCTCCAATGACAAATAAGTACAACTATTCTTGGTATCACCATACCTTCCCTGGAAAAGCTCCCCTTCCCCCACCAAATATGCATAGGTAGAGAAAAGCCCCCTGGATGTACAGAGTGGGTAGAACAATCTCCAGTATGTTATGAAAACAAAATAACCTGTAGATACCATTAAAACAAACCTTCCAAGGCCCTTCCTCTGGACTGTTTAAAAGACATATCCCCCTTTTACTTAGCTACCTAAACACCTGTTGGTACGCCCTGTACTCAGTGGTGACTCAGGGTCCCAAGGTACCAGCTGCTAAAAACAAAGATTAAAGACCACTAGTTGGTATTGGTTGGCTAAAATCTGGGGATGTTAAGCAACCTGGGCTAAAAGTTCAACTTTGCTCAAGCTGAGCAACAAATAACTAACTGCTAGATACAGAGATTTAAACCAAATGGACAGGGAAAAATAGGAAAAAGGAAACTTTCCTTCTAAGATTTAAAGGCCTAGGAAAGTAGGTATAGGAGAGCCTGAGAAATCTGACAAGGCAAGTCTAGCTATGGAGAACCAAAAGAGACTCATTGTCCATAAGCTGGACAATTTCAACTACTCTAAGCTCTTGAGGCACTGGTATACTTGTTGGTGAATAAACATACTACCTGCCAACTAATGGGCCACAAATTAAACTTCCTGAATGAAGGCATGATTTAAAGCTGCCAACAACTAAAAAAGAGACCTGATTTGCTCAGTTTAAGATTTCATCTTACAATGTAGTTATATTTTCATTCTAAGTACCTCTTTAGTCCATTTTGGAGTCATTATTTTCCTCCAATGCTTTCAATATACTTTAGTTTCTTGGAAGGCAAAAAATGATTATTTTCTGGCAGTACTGGGGCTTGAACTCAGAGCTCCATACTTGCTAGGCAGGCATTCTACCACTTGAGCCACTCAGCCAGACCTTTTTTGTGTTGGGTGTTTTTGAGATGGGTCTTGTGAACTAATTGTCCAGGCTGGCTTTGAACTGCCATCCTCCTTACCTCTGCCTCCTGAGTAGCTAGGATTACAAGCTAATGTCCAGCTAGGAAAAAATTATTTGACCCATTTTGCATATCTGTAAATATCTGAGCGAGAGAGGGAACTGCATGGTGGTATCATGCAATCATAGCATTCAGAGGAGCAAGAAAGATTGCTGACATCCTAGTATCTCACCCTCATGCTGGTGTCTCACCAAGTGAAACAACTGCCTGTAGAATGTCTATGGCTGAGCCTCAAGCTATTTTCACTAGAGAGAGGCGAAGCCAACTCTTTTTCCTGATTCTTCAACAGCTGAGAGTTCAGCTGCTCTAGTCATAGCCTCACATTCCTTCTGCAAAGGCTTTCCCTGACAAGATTTATGGAGTGGTCTGAAGAAGCATGCTAAACAATGTACAATGAAGCCACAAGGGAGAACTTTCTGGCCCTAGCAGAACAGTTTCCAATGGGGACTGGATAGCCAGTCCCAAAATGAAGCATAAAGGGTTCTTCTCTCTTATAATCCCTGATGAGAGATTACAGTCATGTTAAGATTTGAGAATATGAAGACACAAAGCATGACTGGGGGTTATTTATGGAAGTAGATGAAGAGATAGCACTGAACATTCCCCATATAGTCAGGGGCAGGGAAACTGAGGCAACATGAATGAATGAAACAGACTTGGCTTCTGATCTACTCAGATACTGTACTCTCTGGATGTTTGTGAGACTAAAATAAATTGCTTTTCATGCCCAGCAGCCACATAGGCAATAGCCATCACCAAAGCCATCACAGCAGAACGGTAAATCAGAGATCACCAAGGCCAAGAAGCAGTATGTTAAGAATAGTGACTCCCCTTTGAGAAGATGATGCTTAAAAAAAAATCCACAATAAATCAGCCAAGCTCCAAGTTTAGGGAGGAGGTTTAAATTATGTTTATGGGACAATGGCCAAAAGTCAGGCAGAATCAGAGAGTAAATTCTGACGGAACGGCTGACTGAGGTCCTTGTGTGGTAGGCAGGTGGAAATCCTACTTACAGTGAGTTGGGTCGGGTGGGTTTTACCACATCCAGGTCTGGGTCACTGGAGTTCATGTTGGGCTGTAAACTGCTGCTGGAATTAAGAGTGCTGTTTGCATTTGATGAGACAGATTCCAAACTGGAGTTGATGATGCTGTTCCTTTGGTCCTCTGAGAGAAAATGATACAAGCAACATATTAATATTATTGCACAAGGAGAGTCTGTCCTACATATATAAAAATTGCAAATAAGAGATTGGATTGAGATTTTGAAAGCTTTAAAAAAGGATAAGAAAGGATAATTAGGAGTGGGAAAGGAAGAGTCAAAAGGAAACAGGTGACATGAAATTTTAGGTAAAATTCCTTCCTCTCCTTGACAGGATTCCTTCCTCCCTTTAATATGCACCAAGCTTCTTCCTAAGCATGGTACTGCCATTGCATCATAAATTGTGCCTTCTTTTGATTAGCAGATAGTCAGAACACAGAGTAGCCTTTGTAGACTCCTTATATTCAGCCAGATCCCCACCCCCTGGCTTCTGTGATACTCACTTTTTATTCTAAACTCCTACCTCTAATATTACCCTAACCACCCAGGCCATGTCCTACCTCTAATTCTATGGCACTTCACCACAGAATATCTATTTGGCCATCAACTTCCTTATGACTCAGTCAGTCTACATTCCTGACCCCACCCCACTGTCCTGTGCTTTGCTAGATCCATGTATTTGATGTTTAACTTCAAGTTAATTCTTTGATAAATAGAGCTGTAAGAGCCTGCAGAGTAGTCTGCATACAAAAAACAAAAACCTGAGTCCATGGTTCAAGCAGTTGCATTCTTCATGGCTGGAAAAAATATCAAGCCAGAAGAGAGAAAACCTGGTTTCTCTTAAGATTCCATCCCTGATGGGCTGGGTGGACTTGGGAAATTTCTACTTGATCTTGATTCCTATGTAACAAATCTCTAGAATGGGGAGAATGAGAACTGCCTTGCATAGTTCATGGAACTGTCATGAGGATCAAGTAGGATCATAAGCAGGAATGTGTTTTGTAAACTTTGGAATACTGCTCAAAGAAAAGAACTTTCTGTTTTTAATCATCTTTAAAAACTTGGAACCATGCATTGAGAGAACATTTTGGGGATAATGTAGCTAAATGGCACAGACACCATTAGTATAGCAAAATATTACCGACTTGGAACGTCAGTGTCATCCTCTATTCAGTACAGATAGGCCATATTGAAATAAACTAATGTTTCTGGCAATTATTTCACTTGTCAAGAAATAAATGTGGGTTAATTCTTACAGGGCCTTTTTGACATGGCTTACAGGTATACTATATCTCTGAGAAGAGGCTGGAATCACAGACACAGTTTAGATTATAGGCTAACTTATAGGTTAACATTTGAACCCAGGTCTGTTTAGGCAACAAAGAGGATAATATCATAAAAGTACTTTTCTCTTTATGCTTTACATTTCTCATGTTTGTAAAACAAATTATGCTTGTGAAATGAAGTTAGAATAATTTTCCCATTATTCTCTCCTCTCCAAAACCCCCAGAACAATCTCAAATCACTAATCTTTCTGCCTCAGCCTTCCAAGTGCTAGGATTATAGGCACTTACTACCACACCCAGCTAGGCAAATCCTTAGTGTCCTGTAAAAGCCCCAATGAAGAGATTTTATTTATTTATTTATTTTTTGCTAGTTGATATAAGGATTTTTTTTCCTTTTTCTTTTATTATTCATATGTGCATACAAGGCTTAGGTCATTTCTCCCCCCTGCCCCCACCCCCTCCCTTAACACCCACTCCGCCCCCTCCCCCTTCCCCCCCACCCCCTCGATACCCAGCAGAAACTATTTTGCCCTTATCTCTAATTTTGTTGAAGAGAGAGTATAAGCAATAATAGGAAGGAACAAGGGTTTTTCCTGGTTGAGATAAGGATAGCTATACAGGGAGTTGACTCACATTAATTTCCTGTGCATGTGTGTTACCTTCTAGGTTGATTCTTCTTGATCTAACCTTTTCTCTAGTTCCTGGTCCCCCTTTTCCTATTGGCCTCAGTTGCTTTTAAGGTATCTGCTTTAGTTTCTTGCATTGAGGGCACAAAGCTAACCTAATTTTTTAGTGTCTTACCTATCCTCATATCTCCCTTGTGTGCTCTCGCTTTTACCTTGGTGATCAAGTTCAATCCCCTTGTTGTGTTTGCCCTTGATCTAAGGTCTGCATATGAGGAGAACATACGATTTTTGGTCTTTTGGCCAGGCTAACCTCACTCAGAATGATGTTCTCCAATTCCACCATTTACCAGCGAATAATAACAGTCTCGTTTTCTCATGGCTGCATAGAATTCCATTGTGTATAGATTACCACATTTTCTTGATCCATTCATCAGTGGTGGGGCATCTTGGCGTTTCCATAACTTGGCTATTGTGAATAGTGCTGCAATAAACATGGGTGTGCAGGTGCCTGTGGAAGTAACCTGTGTCACAGTCTTTTGGGTATATCCCCAAGAGTGGTATTGCTGATCAAATGGTAGATCAATGTCTAGCTTTTTAAGTAGCCTCAAATATTTTTCTCCAGAGTGGTTGACTAGTCTACATCCCACAAACAGTGTAAGAGGGGATTCCTTTTTCCCTTCATCCTCAGCCAACACCTTGTTGTTGTGTGTTGCTAATGATGGGGGGGGGGGGGGGGGGGGGGGGGGGGGGGGGGGGGGGGGGGGGGGGGGGGGGGGGGGGGGGGGGGGGGGGGGGGGGGGGGGGGGGGGGGGGGGGGGGGGGGGGGGGGGGGGGGGGGGGGGGGGGGGGGGGGGGGGGGGGGGGGGGGGGGGGGGGGGGGGGGGGGGGGGGGGGGGGGGGGGGGGGGGGGGGGGGGGGGGGGGGGGGGGGGGGGGGGGGGGGGGGGGGGGGGGGGGGGGGGGGGGGGGGGGGGGGGGGGGGGGGGGGGGGGGGGGGGGGGGGGGGGGGGGGGGGGGGGGGGGGGGGGGGGGGGGGGGGGGGGGGGGGGTGTGGGGGGGGGGGGGGGGGGGGGGGGGGGGGGGGGGGGGGGGGGGGGGGGGGGGGGGGGGGGGGGGGGGGGGGGGGGGGGGGGGGGGGGGGGGGGGGGTGGGGGGGGGGGGGGGGGGGGGGGGGGGGGGGGGGGGGGGGGGGGGGGGGGGGGGGGGGGGGGGGGGGGGGGGGGGGGGGGGGGGGGGGGGGGGGGGGGGGGGGGGGGGGGGGGGGGGGGGGGGGGGGGGGGGGGGGGGGGGGGGGGGGGGGGGGGGGGGGGGGGGGTGAGGGGGGGGGGGGGGGGGGGGGGGGGGGGGGGGGGGGGGGGGGGGGGGGGGGGAGGGGGGGGGGGGGGGGGGGGGGGGGGGGGGGGGGGGGGGGGGGGGGGCTATTTTAACAGAATGTATCAGGTAGCTACCACCAAATTGATCTTGAGGATTTCTACTGTTTTGTTTACTGGAGGACTTTAGAATCCTTTTTTTTTTTTAAATTTTTTTGAGATTCTAGCTTGATACTTGTACCTATATAGATATTTAATATTTTTCACAGATACATAACCATATAACATAACAGAGCAGCAACACAAGCAAAAGAATTATATGTCCAAGAAGAAAACACACAAAACATATCATAAGATTTCACAGCTTTGCACTGAAAGATTGTCAAATATGTATCCTAAGGGGCAGATTCCTTATTGGTATTCTTTGATTGGATGACATATGACAAGGAAACCCAGAAACCTGCCATTCCTTGACTATAAGACAACTATAGTTTTGTAGAGGTAAGTCTCATTATCTGTGATTTCAGATAAAGAGACTAAAAGCTTCTAGGTGGAAGATGGAAGCTGAAGTCTGACAATCTTGAGGGTGAGTAGGAAGGTACAGATTATTCCAGAAAGGGGTGGAGAGTAAAATCAGATGCAAATCAAATGTTTCAAGTGGTTATGGCAAACTATACCAAGGCAAATTCTAAAGCATTTGGAATAAATTAAGAAATAAAGAGAAAATGATCAGTGTTGCCACTCAAAACAGGAGGATTCCCTCTTCCTCCCACCCCCTAGCAAATGAATCCTTACTTCTGAGAGAAAAGCAGGAGAATAGGCAGCCTGGAACAAGTCTGTTAAATGAAAATGAACCAAATCTTTCACATAATAGAGCTGAGCTCCTTGAATCCCTGATGACTCAGGCCAGCTATGGCCTCCTCATCAGAAGGTATACAGGGGACTCACGGCAATGACCTTGACAGAGGAAAAAAAAAATTATAGGCTAGTGGACATCAAAAGGAAAACAACAACCAGTTATGAGTCAAATCAACAAGATGATAGAGAACCATTTGTATTAGTCACAGAAAACAAGAGTACAGAAACAGGAATGGAAAAATAAAACAAATACCCACACAATTGTAAACATGTGTTGGTCACGTGCTGGGTGTTTTCATGCACGTACATTCTAAAGGACTGGTGGACTAGATGTGGACTTGGTCCTTAAGGATGAAAGCTACTCAAGGGCAGGCACATGTCTGGCCACACTATGAAAGTGACCAGTGAGGTCAGCATTCGCCATACTTTTTTGGTGTCCAGTCTATGCATCACATATACCACAGCTCCATGAATGGTTATGAGAGAATATATAAAAGAATAATATACAATTCAAATTTAAGCTGCTGGAACAGAATGAGCTAGTATTGTATAACTTAATTTTGCAGGTGCTTCAGTCAGGGACCACTAATGTCCTTGGAACCAAAGTACTGGTGACAGTGATTTTTGTTTTTTGTACAAATCAGGAGCGGAAAAAACATGAGTATGCAACTAAATCAGTGTGGCTAAAAAAGGAAAGCCGCAGAATGATTTTGGGGATATTGTACTTGTTCTGGGAGTTGCCATGGAAATCTGGGAGCTAAGCTACTTCACTTTCCATATTTACTAAGTGACTCCGACTCACTCTAATGGCAACCCCATCACAGACAGAGGCAAGATCTCTGTTTATCACAGAACCCGCAGGCGAGGGCAGGAAAGTGCACAGAGCCAAGCCAAATTCACACATGTTGGCAGGCCTGAACATGCCTGGCCCACTGAATACACAGAGCTGGAGGATAAACATGAAACATAGATCCTCAAAGTCACTTTGGGAGAGGTTTCACACTGCATGGGGAAGTAAGTTTGTCAGAATTCAAGCTCATATGTTA